TAAATCGGTACCTCGTCGATTAATTAATGTCTTTGCAATGAAATTTACAAATTCGATTTTAATTTGGTTTATGATCCCCGACAAAACAACACATGAATTTTACAACTATCAAAAGCACCAAAATAGATTAAATTAAAATTACCAGGCCTTAAGAAAGATAAAGAATATTCGATTATTTACAAATATCGAGACCAGATCTTAGATAAGTTCTAACTATATTTTCTCGATAAATTTAAATAGCCGAACATTTCTTTATCTTCCGTTCCCAAATTTTAAAGTAATAATTCAATTTCTTAGGTGTCATTGATGGGATACACTGTTAATTTAAAAGCGTTAGAAGCGGACCTCTAATAGTTAAGACAACCCACTTAAACGAATTTAAATTAAAAGGGTATTACCCTTAGTCAAATTATGTCGTATGGTCGAGATATGCAAATGAGGGTATCATACATATTATGCAATAGTAGTTATTAAGTAAATGATATGAATATGCCAAAACTTATATGCATCCTAATAGAAGGTAAATACCAATATTCACAACACTAATTTATTCGACATATTAAATAAAATGAAGCAAGACACAAAGTTATCCTATATTACTTATTATATGCATATATACGCAAGCAAATGACCATATTAACATTAATAATTAAATTATACATAATGTTTACATGTTATCATGAAAATATAAAAAACGACAAATGACTTAAATGAATAAACACAAAACTCTAAGGCTAAAATCATAGATTATACAAAGATCAAATCATAGAACAATAATGATCATATTTCATGTACTAAAATCGAAATAAACCCACAAATGTATGCATGACTAAACTGTAATCTTCAAAAGAAACATATCAAATGTATAAACAAATAAAATATCAAAGCAAGTGAATTCCAGGACTAAAATGAAATATGCAACAACATGAGGTTCAAATGTCTAAAGAAATGACACCAAGTACATTACCACTCAAGATTAAAATTAAATATAGGTAGAACATGGAGACAAAATCAGAAGTACGAAAACGTCAATTTAAGGACGAAAATGAAGCCTATCTAAAACAGGGAATCACTTACATTAATTGCTTTAGTTCAACAAAAAAAAAGGGTAAAGATCGAAAGCCCTTTACAAATTTCTCTCGCTTTTATCCTTGAATACCCTTTGCTCTTGATAATTTTGCTTCCTCCCCGTGGTCTCTGCTTGCTCTCCTCTTTGATACTTTTTTTCTCCTCGTGAACCTCCTTCCCCACTCTTTTAATTGCCGACCCCTTTCCTCTATAGGATGTCCTCTCTTTAAGAATAGATGCTGAACAAGTCTATCCTCCCTTCCCCCCCTCGTGAGTGATTAGCTCCTTTTTTTAAATTGCAAAACTATAATTCATTAAACCAACCATTCTCCCCACGTTCATTTGCTCCCCCTTTCTTCTTAATGCTATATCCAATACCTTATTAAATATAGGTAGTGGAGTAATATTCTCATCATGTGGGAATAAAAAATAGATGGCATAAACAAGGGTTTGTGAAAACTACACGCATGGGCAGCATTTGAGGGTGAGTGGAACATGAGTGGAATTTGATGTGTATGATTTCCCTCTAATCATGCGTGAGTGGTGGCTGGTCAACAAGTATGAGCTGTTTTATGTATAATTTCAGCTGGTTTAGACACTCCCAAGTGTTCCCAAGTGCTGTTCCAACGTGTCTTATTGTGCAAGTGAGCAAAGGTCTGCAGAAAATTCGTAAATTCCGTATTGATTTTCCAGACTGCACAGTCTTTGGTTATCTGATTATATCTTGAGCTACCGATATCGGATTGATGTGATTCAAAGTGCGTTCGAAAGGTAAGAGATAGAGGATTAAATGTTAAGAAGACTTACTCATCCAAATATACTTGTAACATATTCAAAATTGGAGATCAATATGGATGACGTGCACTGTTTGTAATTTGGGGCCTGATTTGTGCTCGGTGTACCTTGGCCTGCAAAATGATAACATAAATAACATTAATATTATTATTAATAGTAAAATAATATAGTAATAATAATAATAATAATATCCCGGACAAAATGGGTGTCTACTCCCAGGAGATCCCTTCATCACGAATGTACTCTTCGACCCACTCCTTATTCTTTTCCGTCAGCGTGTTCATCTTGGTTATGAACCCCTTAGGTCGAATTACCTTGGTGTAAATAGAATGACTTCTAACATTTGGGATATTCAGCAAAACTTTATACTCCACCAAGGTAGGGGTCATGTCTACTTTACCAAAAGTAAAACACCTGTAAGCTGAATTCCAACACTCGACAAGGGCTCGAACCACTACTGAATCTATTGATACTCTTAGTAACTCTACGATGTCACCGTATATCCCTCTAAATAGTATATTCTCATTATCATCCCAGGTGGACCAAATTCTTGATAACTTAGCCCAGTGTGCCTGCATGACTCGAATAATCACCTTTTCTGGAAAAACTAAATCTTCGGTATTGATAAGGCTATCCCCGAACCGTGTCTGTCTGTATTCAGACTAGGTCTGAACACTGATTGCATTCTCAGTCCCATCGGAAGACATTGTTGCCTTAAGTTTTTTTAGAATAACTAGGTGATCTGGGAATCAATACTGTTTATGAAATGATGTGATATGATAATGATACATGCAATCAGGAAACAAAGAAATAAGTTAGTGATATTAGAATAAAAAAATCAAAGAATAATTAGTAAAAATTTAAAGTATCGAATGCCAAATAATCAAAGAAAATTAAAAATCTTAACATCATGCGACCTAGTTCTTTTAAGTTATTCGCATGGCTTTAACGGGGTAGGCTTACTAAATTCTTTATATGAGGTTGGGTTCTAGCAAAGGGTTCCCAAGCCATTTTTACAACCTGTTAAGGTTGCCCCCGATTCTGGCCCATTACAGACTTGCGAATCAAGTTCAACTCAGGGGATCACACCACTAAAAGCGTACCTCGAAACTAATATCCGGATAGGCAACTTAGGGTGCTTTCTAGAGATACTTTGTCAGACCCACACAAGGAAGCCCAATGCTCCTCGTGAGGTGTGACGTTTCTCCCTACTTAAGTAAACTGGGATTGAGCTCGAGTTTAGAGCTATGATATACAACAATCCTAAATATTTCACAGAAGTGTAAGAATTGATCAGAAAGAAACCTTTTTTTTTGAAATAACATAATGAACCGTAAATTAAACAAGATCGAACTCAAAATTTCTAAAACCATAAATATAGGGTACCTAACTCGTGGCTCGACTCTCAATTTGTTTAAAAAACAAAGGTCCCCAGCAGAGTTGCCAAGCTGTCGTAACCGTTTTTTCGCCCGGAGGAGAAAGACCGATACCGACGGGGGGTTTTCTTTTTGAAAATCATTTGAAAATGTGAGGAGTCGCCACCAACCATTTAAGGTGCGATTGGAACACCATAAAAACCGGATGATTTTAATAAAACATTTTGTTTTTATCAAAAGAGCGAATTTTGAGGTCTGCGAAAATCCAGAAATCAGGTTCGGGAGTCGGTTACGCGTGGGGAAGGATTAGCACCCCCACAAGCACCCAACAATTGGTACCTAGTTGATTACCCTATATTTAAAATTAGAAATTTGGAGTTCGATCTTTATTTAATTTAAAAATCATTAAGGATGCAAAGTTGAAAAGAGTATTCGTTTATCGAGACTGATATCATTTGCCCCCGAGCATAAATGCGGGATATCAACTATTGTGCCTAATAACCGAATATTGCATCTTTTTTTTAGAAAACATGATGTGGTTTTGAAAAGGATGTTGACTTATTCAAGGAATTACTAGTATTCACCCCCTGAGCACAATTACGGGAGATATACTATTAATTCCTTAATAAGTAAACAGTGCCTTAGATTTTTAAAAACAATGTAATCAAACAAAATTTTATTTGTCATAATTAAACTAAAAATAAATTAAGACATTTTCTAACTTAAAATGTCAAATTATGAAAATTAAGAAACCTAATAGCTCAAATTTAAAAGGTAGGTTATAGTATTAAAGTTTATATATTAAGATGAATTATGTATTCATGTATTATAAATTTTCTTTTAATAATTTTAAAATGATCGAATATTACCCTTAATCAATTTATTTCAATTTGAGTCAAGTAATGCTAATGAGGATATTATACAATTCATGTAAAAAAATGTTAATGAAAAAATTAATTAAACAAATATTATGATTATCTATTAATAAATAATATATGAAAAATTATCATGCAATAATATTTTAATACCAAAAACAAATATATACATATTTTATGACTACACATTATGATATATATATATATATATGCAATATACAAATGACTTAAATGCAAAAAATGAAAACATAACATACCAAACTAAAAAAAATAGCTATATATTAAACTAATGGCTAAATCATATTAAACCGAAATTTATTATTTATAATGCAAACAAAATAACAATTAAAGCGTAAATGCAAATATTATCATATTGAGTACCTAAAATTATTACAAAGGATTAAAACCATAATAAATCCAATATATGCTGGACTAAAAAGTAATATGCAAAAAATTAGAGATCTAATATCTGATTAACAAAAAATAAATAAATCAATTTTTCGGATTACAATTAAAAGTATATAAAATACATAGACTAAATTAAAAGCATAAAAAAAACTTGAATTGAAGTCTAAAATGTAACATGCAAAAACTTAAAGGTCTAATGTCTAAAATAACAACAATTAAATATAATAACATTCAAGACTAAAATTAAATGTGCACAAAATAAAGAGACTAAATTAACATGCAAACATTCGATTTGAGGACTAGAATGAGTAAAAAAAAATGAGATGACCCATACAGAATACCTCGAAACTCAAAGAATTAGTTGCATAGTTTACTCCTCCCTTTGCAAAACGTAAGTTAACATATATTGAAACATTACCGTTTTACTCTTTTAATATATATAGTAAAAGCTTAACCCTAATTTATTTGCAAACCTCCCTCTCATATCGACTGAATACGCCGTTTCCTTCTCCTCTCCCATCTTCTCTATTCGAGAGCTTCACAGCTCTCAACTCTCCATTCCTTTCTTCTTCGTGGCCAAGAAGCTCGACAACAAGCTCTCTATATCAGCCACCAAATATCAATGGCCACTCCGCCTTGAACACCGCCGAAGCCCTTAAACACCTCGACCCCGATTTGGACCAAAATTCTCAATTAAAACCCCTAACGCTCTGGTCACTGTACGATAGCTTGGTGACTTACATCGACCCCCAAACTCCCTTCGTCTTTCAAGTATCTTCGAAACTAATTTCCATTTATTATTTTTTTTTCATTTTTTACTGGTTAGCTGGGTGATTAGGGCCGAAATAAACACTTATTTATTTTTTATTTAATATTTCAAATATATATATTAGTGTTACCATGCTTGAAAAGGAAGAAAAAATAGGTTATATTTACTCCATTTGAACATGCAAGGCTTCGATTCTTAGAAATATTATTACAATATTTTTTTTAAAAAAAATAACAGTATATGATATACCTTAAATTTGAACAAAAAAAATACTTGTTGTATTAGAAGTGCACAGATCAGAGGAAAGAAACATGCATTCGAACAATGAAAAAAAGTAAGTAATAGACAACCTTTGTTATTCTTTGAAGATGGAGTTACAGTGTGATTTTTCAGATTTTTTTTCTCCTCCTCTTTTACTCATAGAATCACTTTCTTTATATTTTTTCACTCGCCAAATCCTCTTGGCTTTTTCCTTTTTTTTTCTTCGTTGCTTTATTAATTGGGAATGGTTGAGATTTGTTTTTGACTTTTGTTGTAATTTGGTGTAGGTTGATGATGATGGCTTGGTGGATGTCTCAACTTGAAAAACGAGTGTTGACAGGCAAAGCTATTGTAAACGATTCGGAAAGGAAATAAAAGGTAGCTTCTTTTTTTACATTGATTCGTTCATTTCTCATATGTACATGTTATTTTTCTTGAGATTTGGTTTGAATAACTCAAAGCGTGGGTTGCGCCGATGACCAAAAAGGGGTAGAGTTTCGAAGTTTCGAACCTAGATCTACTCCCGAGGCATGTTCATTTTTTAAAGTATTTAATATTCCCCCTAAGTCAATCTTAATATTTAATTTACATTGAAATTTATCCTTTAATTTTACTTTTATATTAATTTCGTCCTCTATATATATATTTTTAATTATATTTTTTATTTATTTACTATATTCCTCTTTTTTATTTATATTATATTATTTTCATTATATATATATATGTATAGATGTATTAATTTTCTCCATTTACTATATATATATTTTTTTCTTAATATTATATTTTATACGTTTTTATATATATATTCTTAATATTCTATTTTTGTTTTTATTTATTTATATATATATATATATATTATATTTTTAATTTATTTTATTATTTTATTTTTTTTCTTAATATCATGTATATCTTTATTTTTTATTTGTTTTACTTAGTATTATATATTTATTATTTTTATTTGTTTTAGTAAATACTGTTTTATATGTACACATTATTTTTATTCCTTTTTAATTTCTTTTACTTTTTTTTTACTCCATTAATTTTTTTCCTTTATCTGTGTCTTTGTTTTTTAACATTTTATTCATTTTGTTTATTTTTATTATTTTATTATTATTTTTATGTGTTTTGTTATTTTCCATTTTTTCTTGTTTTATTTATTATTCTCACGTTTGCATACTTGCTATCCTAATTTGATTTTATACTCCGCTACGAATCTAACGTTTTTATCTTTTAAGGGTATTCAAATCAATCAATTGTAAGTAATTTGAATCGGGTCTGTTAAATTTTAATTTTAATTTCGAATTTTCGCAACTAAGACAACCGATAAATTAATTGGTACCGAAAGGGCGGTTCAAGGGTGCTAATCCTTCATTGACCGTAACCGACTCCCAAACCCGACACATTTCTGGTAAAAACGCAGATCAGGTAAGATGGTGTTAGACCCACCTAAATTCGTTTTAAAATGGTCGATGGCGACTCCAATCCACATTTTTCAAGTCAAAGCTCAATTCCGGGGCCCAACCGAAAGACGGTTACGACAAATCTATGTGAATATATAAGAGTATAATATAAGTTATATGATTGGGTATAAATATTAATTATAGGATTAGATGATAAGAGGGATTAATGAGAATCATATTGATAATTATAGGAAGATTAATAATGATAGTAACAAGATATATATGTATACATGGAATTTTATTACATGAGATTTATTATGGATTAATGTGTTATTTTTGCATAAATTATAACTGCATTGTTAAGTATTTAGAATTCTATTATACTTTTTATATGTCTCACTAAGTCATCGACTTAGCGTGTGAATGTTTCACACGTAGTTTTCGATATACAAGAGGAGCAAAAACAGGTAGGACAGATCAACCTCTTATTTCCAAAAGATCAGATAAGAAAAGAATTTGAATTATATGTATTTTGTTATATTGAATATAGTTGGAATGTAATAAAAGATTTGAGTTAATTGTGCTCTGATATGTTTGGTAAAACCAAATATTTTTTTATTAATGTAAATTGTTCAGTTTTAATTTAAAGTTGAATTGGAAATTCTTTAGTAGATTTTAAAAAGTAAATGCTTTGAAAAGTTAATGTGACACATTGGACTCGTATCCGAGTCGGGTATGGGTTAAGGGTGTTACAAAACAAGTAAAAGCAAAAGATAAACATTCATCAACCATTAAAACAAAGTTTTCAAGCATCCTTCAAATGAACGCCACCAAATATAGCTTAGTTTATGGTGGGGTTTGAATAAATGATAACTTCCTAAAAAGGCTACTTTTAAGGCATTTTTCACTTAAGTTATTGTTTGTTTAAGAGCTCATTTTAGTCATTTTAGGATCATGTAGTTGCATATAGTTACATTTGTGGTGGTATTTCTATTTTATCTCTTAAATGTGCTGTATGAGAGAAAGGTGCAGTTGTTTGTGGTGTGCAGGGAATAGTAGACAAAAGGATTCTTTGGGAAGTAATGCCCGTAGCATCACACGTTGCTGAAGCATATTGAAATGCCTTGGCATTTCTGGCACATAAAATGATAAAAAGATACAGCTGTACGAGGAAAGATGGCTCTGCACGTGAAATAATGGTTATAACCACCTGTCAGAAGACCATTGCCACCTGGAGGATAAGGTTCACGCATATGGTGTGATTCTAGGGGTATGAGGGGTATTTTGCACCCAACATCACCCAACGACCTCATCATTACCCCTAGATATTTTTATTATATATGACACCTCACAAGGGAGAGAAGGACATACAATAGACGCATACGCATAGGGCAGAGCATAAAAATATCAGTTTTATTTTCCTTTCCCTTCTTCTTCCTTGGGTGTTCCTCCATTGATAAAGCTCCAAGGAGTGGTTAGCTAGGCGTCCGAGAGGAGCTAGCGAGCTAAGGTGGTTCGTGGTGGCCGAGGATACCTCCAGTGGCGTGTGTCGAAGGCTTCTTCTCACTTCCCTTTGCTGTTATTTTTCTATTTATTTTTGGGTTGTTGTAACGAATATTTTATGGCTTGTTCTATGAATATTTCAAACTCCACCATGAACTAGCTTATTTGGTGGTGGTTGTTTTAATGGTTGTTTAAACTTTATTTTAATGATAGATTTTTGTTTATCTTGGGTATTTCCTTGCTTTGCTTATGAATACTTCACCATTTAGGCTTGTAAGAGGCATGAGAGTGTACGTTTCTTAGATAAAGATTAGGTGTTCGAGAGAAACCTAAGCTAAAAATACTTGTTGTATTCGAGAGAAACACAAGACAAGACCCTCATAAGCAATGGGCTATAGTGTTTTCAAAGGGCTTTGAACCGGCCTAGGAATACTATATCATAATCTCTTAGTACTCAAGAGAGACTAGAATATGATTTCAATGACTAAAAAGGGTGTTTTTATCAATAGTGTGGGCTGTCATCATAGTTGAGTGAGAGCAGATGCAATGTCATCCTATTCTGTTAGGTTCCTTTGACTAAAGATAGTAGGAACATTTTTGGAAAACCCTTTCGAGCAAGTAGAGTTTAGATAGCATAAATCTGCCTGAAAGATAAGTTTAGCATCTTTAAATCAATCCCTACCATTCATTCCAGTGGAAGCTTGTCGTGTGAGGATTATCTACTTATCTTTTATTTGCTATTTATTTACTGTTTTTACAATTTTACATTGCCATGACAGTTCATCATTTTAAACACTAAACATCTGCTCTTTCCACTGCATTTCCATTTGCTACACCATCAGACCATCAATCCATATCCACCAGCATACACATTTCCATTACCGTGACATTGTATATATCAACACTAACTATACATAGATAGACTAGTGCTTTTCTTTGGTTAGACTTTTGTAATTTCACCTAATCCTTGTGGAGACGATACTCACTCATCACTTTATTACTTGAGCGATTGTGTATACTTGCACATTATTTGCGTATAATTTTTCCATTATTTGCGTGTTGTGAGTACCATAAAATCTAAGTGAATTAGCTTAAAAGAAAAAGATTATCCAAATAATGAAAAATATAGAGGATTTAGTAAAATCTAAGGAGATGGTCGAGTCATTCTATGGGTGTTTCCCAATCTGGTTCTTCCACCAAAGTTTAAGATTTTAGATTTCAAGAAGTATAATCAGACCACTTGTTCATCTGCTTACCTCACTATGTACTGTAGAAGAATGACGGGTTATACCAATAATGAAAATCTACTAATACATTGCTTCTGGGATAATTTGGCCGGATCAACTACAAGATGATACAATCAGTTAACCAAATCCCACGTCAAGTTATAGAGAGATTTGGCTAGGCCATTTTTAGAGCAATACCACCACGTCACTGACATAGTACCTGACAGATAGACGTTGCAAAGCATGGAGATGAAGCACAACGAGAGTTTCCGACAATATTCGCAACGATGGAGGGACGTTGTCTCTCAAGTGTAGCCACCCGTGACCGAAAGGGAGTTCACTACTATGTTCATCAATACATTAAAATATCCCTATATTAATCACATGATAGGGACTTCCACCTAGAATTTCTTTGACATTGTCATGTGTGGAGAAATGATCGAAACAACTATCAAGAATGGCAAGATAAGAGGCTCTGACAGTGCTGATGTCAAGAAATGAGCTGAGGTCAATACAATAAGGTCTTATTCAACTAATCATTTGGACCAAACCTTATAGAATGACCCGAAAGAAGACTCTTATGGGTGAAATTCAATGATATATGAAGAGTTGCACCCATTACTATTTGAGAAGAATCTCGTGACTCTAGTTCAGTCTAAACCGAAAGAACCCCCATTTCCTAAAGGTTTGATACTAATGCAGTATGTAGCTACCACATAGGAAACTCAGGGCATACTACTAAGAATTGTGGGGCATTGAAGAATAAGGTTTATAATTTAATTGATTCAGGGGCATGGACATTTGATTAATGATGGGGCATTCTGATGCAAACTGAGAAAAATCATGGCAGCCACTAGGAACTTTTGATGCACATGCATATTGTCTTGATTGAATTTTTTCTCTTTCTCTTTTCGTTAAAAGGTTTGTAAGTCACTTGACAATCAAACATTTTAAATAAAATGCTACCTTATGAGTTTATGAGCAATGAGTAATTTTCAAACTTGAAATTCTCTAAGTATACACTGGACTAAAAACTCTTTAAAAAATTAGAGTTATAGATATTTGACAAAGTGACAAGATTGAAAACTGATAAAACAATGACCATTGACCTTACCCTAGATGATACATTCGAACACCATACCCTTCTCTTGCTTGATCCAATATAGACTTCTCCTCTCATGAGAAAATGATCAAGGGGCTTGGCATTCAGGTATGAATAGGAGCGGACAACATT